CCCAGGCTGGAGTGCAGTGGCATGATCTCAGCTCAATGTAACCTCCGCCTCCTGGGTTCAAGCAATTCTGCCTCAGCCTCCCAAGTAGCTGGGATTGCAGGTGCCCACCATCATGCCTGGCTAATTTTTGTATTTTTAGTAGAGATGGCGCTTCACCATGTTGGCCAGGCTGGTCTCGAACTCCTGACCTCAAGTGATCTGCCTGCCTCGGCCTCCCAAAGTGCTGGGATTACAGGCATGGGCCACCGCGCCTGGCCAAATATTCAAAAATTAAAGACAAAAACGACTGAGTAACTTTGATATCACACTGCATATGAAACAGCTAAATTTGAAGTTCCAAGAAAATGAAAAGCTGATTTGTGATCTAGCTAAAGAGGAACAAAATTTTAGGCTAAAATTGCAACTTTTCAGAGTGCAATACAATATACAATAATAATTTCATACATTTTCTAACATGAATAAACTTCAAGAAAATCTGCAGATTTATTGAAATTGATAAGATTATTGTTGCTTATCAATTTACGCAAAACCTCTTTGAATTCGATGTTGGTAATATTGACATGTGTTAGTAAATTGACTTAACTTGAACAGACATAGTTTTGAAATCAATATGCTTTTGCTTCAAAGTCAAATCAAGACAAATCAGTTGTGTCAATGTGGATGTAAATATTGCAAGAAAATAATTTCTCACATAATTCAGTTTTTGGAAAACTTTTAAATATGTTTGGAATTATTTGGGTATGTGATCCTACCTTTTGAACTGTAAATTTTAGGAAATATAAATGCAGATTAAATATGTCCAATGAAATGTTTATGTCCAAAATGAGAGATACTGTAAGTCAAGCTTGTCCAACCTGTGGCCCACGGGTTCCATGTGGCCTAGGATGGCTTTGACAGTGGCCCAACACAAATTCGCAAACTTTCTTAAAACATTATGAGATTTTTTTTGTCCTCATCAGTTCTTGTTAGTGGTAGTGTATTTCACCTGTGGCCAAAGACAATTCTTCTTCCAATGTGGCCCAGAGAAGCCAAAAGTTTGTACCCCTCTCCTCTAAGTGTAAAGTACACAACAGATTTAGGAAATTTAGTGCAAAAATGTAAAATACTTCATTGATAATGTCACGTTGATTACATGTTAAAGTGATATAATGAGTTAAATAAAACATATTATTAAAATGTATTTTACCTATTTAAATATAGCCACTAGAAAATTGAAAATTACATATGGGGGCTCAGATTTTATTTCTGTTGGACAGCACTGACTGATACATATATCCAGAAGTTGAATTATTAATGTATAAAATACTCCACTGTTTAACACTAGAAAAAGTACCAAACTGTTCTGCAAAGCTGCCCTATCAGTTAATATTCCTACTAGCATTGTATCCTATCCATATCTTCACTAATGTTTAGAATTACCTCGTTTTAAAGTTTTCGCCAAGCGAATGGGTACGTCATTATGATCTTAATTTGCATTTTTTGGTCACTAATGGTACTAAACATCTCTTCATATGTTAATTGGCCATATATATTTCCTCTTCTGTGAAATGTTTGCTCATGTTTTGGCCATTTTTCTTTGGTATTTTTCTGTTTGTGCTTTTCTTACTGATTTATTGGTTATTACTATTGAAGACCCTGAATATAAAATTAAATGTAAGATTCACTTACTCTTCCATCTCAGAATGTGTGATATGCCCACTTTGGCCTCCCAAAGTACTGGGATTACAGGTGTGAGACACCATACCCAGCTCACCACTTTTTTCAGCTTTTCACTGCAGGTCCTACTCAGTGTAATAAAGTAGGAGAAAGAAATACAAGGCATTCAGATTGGGAAGGAGGAAGTAAAACTGTCTTTATTCACAAGACATAATTGTCTATGTTACAAAATGTGGTGTAATCTACTAAAAAGCTACTAGTAGTAATAAGTGAGTTTAGTAAGGTTGTGGCATATAAGATCAATATAAAAAATCAATTGTATTTTTATACGTTAAGATAATTGAAAATTCAAATTAGAAAAGCAATACCACTTAAAATAGCATCAAAAACATGAAATGTTAGGGATGCATCTGGCAAAAAGGTGCAAGATCTTCACAGTGAAATCTATACAATATTGCTGAGAGAAATTAAAGAAGACCTAAGCCAATGGAGAAAAATACTGTGTTCATTTGTTGGAAGACACAATATTGTTAAAATACCAACTCTCTCCAAATTGATATATAATTCAATGCAATGCCAATCAAAATGTCAACAGATTTTAAAAAAAAATTGGTGGAAACTGACAAGCTAATTCTAAAATTCATATTGAAATGTACAGAGGCAAAACACCCTTGAAAAAGAACAAAGTCGGATGGCTAACACTACCTGATTTCAAGTTATATTTATCAAAACAGTGTTGTATTGGCATAAATATACGCAAAAAGATCAATGGAATAGAATACAGAGTCCAGAAATAAGCCTGCACATATATGATCAATAATTTTTCAACAAAGTTGCAGAAGTGTTTGAACAGAGGTGGGAAGATTGGATATCCATAGCACCACTACCACCACCACACAAAGCACTTCAACACTTCAAACCCTTATCTCACACCACAAACAAAAATTAACTCAAAAACCATAGTCCTAAACCCTGAAACCTAAAATTGTGAAACTTCTAAAAGAAAACCTAGGAGAAAATAACTGTAACCTTGCATTAGGCCAAGAATTCTTAAATATGACACCAAAAGCACTATCCATAAAAGAAAAAAATCGATAAACTAGACTTCATTAAAATTTAAAAACTTTGATACTTTGAAAGATACTATGGAGAGAATGAAATGACAGGTCACATGCTTAAAGAAAATATTTTCAAATAGTATATATGATAAAGGACACATTCATAATATATAAAAACTCTCCATACAATAAATATGAAAAAACTAGCCCAATACAAATATGGGCAAAATATTTGAACAATACTTCATCTAGGAAGATATATGAATGGCAAATAAGCACAGGAAAAGATGCCCAACATCATTAGTCATTAGGGAAATAAAAATTAAAACATAAAACACCTGATATAATGTCTAATATGAAAGTGATTGATCACACTAAGCTCACGAGGATGTGGAACAACTGGAACACGACACCCACTGCTGGTGAGAATGAAAATGGGACAACCAGTTTAGAAAACAGTTTGGCAGTTTCTTCAAAAGTTAAACAGACACCCACCATAGAGCCCAGCCAGTTCCATTCCTAAGTAATTATGAAAGAGAAATGAAAGCATATGTCCACACAGAGACCTGTACACAAATGATCAAAGCAGCTTTATTTATAATACCTAAGAAATAGAAACAAACCAAATGTCTATCATCATTTGGATGGTAGTAAACAAATTGTTACAGATCCAAACAATGAAATATTACTGAGTAATTAAAAAGTAATGATGTATTGATATACATGATAACATGGATAAATCCCAAATTAATTATGCTGAGTGACAGAAACTATATGTGTGTGTGTGTGTCTGGGGGGGGGTGTATACACATTCATTTATATAAAATTCTAGAAGAAGCAAACTAATTTATAATGACAGCGTAACAGTGGTTGCCAGGGGATATGGGGGCAGAAAAGGACAGGAGGGAGAGATTACAAAAGGTCATAAGGAAATTTTGGAAGTGATGGAAATATTCATTATCTTAATTGTGGCAGTAGTTTCAAGAGGGGATAAAAATATCAAAACTTACTTTATATACATGCAATTTATTATGCAAGGATTATACTTCAGTAAAGCTGTTAATTTTAAAACTAATTACAATTAAGTAAAAAATAAAAGTTCAGTTTCTTACACTAGTCACATTTCATGTTCTTAGTAGCCACATGTGGCTAGTGGCTACCATTTCAGCACAAATACAGAACATTTCCATCATTGTTGAAAGTACTGTTGGATAACACTGATCTAACTCATACATAAAACAGCATCTGTTTCTTTCATTTCTCCTCCACCTACCTACCCCAAACTTTAGGGATGGTAATAAGCAAGGCATTATGGCACTGATATATAAATTACCCGAGAACTTTAAAAAACAGATTTTATTACGTTAGTTTTAATGTAACTTTGCTGTGGAGCAAAATATACCTTCTATTCATAAACATATAGCACACAGTTTCCTCATTTAGATATCACAGCTTCTATGGATTATATTTAATTAGTTTCCTCCAAAGCTCAAGTTGATGTCAATTTTAAACTAAATGATATGGAAAGAAATAAAACAGATAACTCGCTCTTGGAACTTACTTTCTCCTTGTAATCAAAGTACTTATTGCTTTGCTATAACTCCTAAGTGAGAATATACATTTTTTCATATACTCATAAATATCAAAATATTATGTTACATATGCAATTGAATGTTCCCATTTAAAAGAATCAAGTATATAACTCTTACACAACACATAGAAACACAAGTTTCAAATGTGAGAACAGACATTAACATAAACACCATGTATGCACTGAAATGTTTCACATTCATTAAACAGTTCATAAAATTAGGATGGAGAAGTTGTTAAACCATATTCTATATTCTTACTGAAGCTTTTTCCCTTCCTGCACTATAGCTCTTAGTTTTCAGAGTTAGAGGTGACTGCATCTCAAAAAAAAAAAAAAAAAAAAATTCGAACTCAATTTTCTGCCCTCATTCTGTGTTGTCTACGGAAGAGTCTCTGCTTGGAGTTTTTGCTTCAATATACAGAATGCAGGGCTGAAATCCTCAATCATCCTTGTTCCAAAGCCTGATACACAAACCTTTCATATATATTTTGATGTCTGGGTCATCTCTGTCTTAGAAATGGAATACGGAAAAAGGTAACTGGGGTAGTGGGGAGAAGGGAGGTTGCTGGCGAATGTAGACAAACCAAGGCGACCTCCGAACTGTGTATTGTAGTAGATAAGCAAGAAGTACGAAAATAGAAACCAAGTCCCTCTGTTGTTTGCAGAAGCAGAACTCAGAAGCCAGCTTCACTTACTTTTTTACACCGACAGAGCCATTTTCCTTGTTTTCCATGTCAACAGATAGCATAGGAAGGCTGCAGGGTTCCTTTACTTCAGCAACTAATCAATAAGGGAGAAAAGCTTGTGTTTAATTCTTAGAAAGTGAGAGAAGAATATATATTCTGAATCGGAAACATAATGGTCCCTTTTACAGCTTCACACCAGTTCACGTATGTTTGTTTAAATCTCCAGTTCCCTCGGCGATTGGAGAGATGTGATTAAACCTAAAGAACTGGAGGAGACGGATTGGGGTGCTTTCATCTGTACTGGCACTCCCTGCCTTGACAATAAGCATTTGCAAATGAAATTGAATCCTTGTTGAAAACAAGTGCTGTGTGAACTGGCACAGCTTCTCCTGGGTGCCTAGCTCTCACTTAAGACACTGCAACTCATAAATGAGTCAAAGTAGAGAAAAACAATCCCCCTTTTCCTTCCCCCCTCCCATTATGGGCTGTGATTTGTTTTTTCTTATTGCATTTGTTTTTTTTTTTTGTCCACTCCCCCTTGCTCCTAGATTTTTTCATTGCAATGCAGAAGGACACTTAAAGCTTTTGTCAGTAAGTATTCCCCTACCTCACATTCTCAACGAAAGCCTCAAAAACCCGTCTGTGAGATGGCCATGCTGTGGTAAAGCAGGAAGCTCACAAAAAATGCCAGATAGCCCTTAGCACAGAAAGGTGGTGCTGGTGTGTGTGTGTGTGTGTGTGTATGTGTGTGTGTGTGTGTAAGAAAGAGTAGGTAGCTCATTAGATTTATGAAAAATCATCAAAACATTTAAGGAGATATTGTAGCATCCATCATTCTGTCTTTTTGTTTAGTAGGATGAGGGCTGTGAAAAATTAAAAGCCTTCCACAATTAATATGCAATTAGCAAAATGAAAAAGCTACGAACAAAACTGCTTTAAGGAAAAAAAAAAAAAAAAAAAAAAAACGGAAGAAACAGTCCCGAAACGTGTTTGCTCTTATTCAGTTGAAGCCATAAATTAAATACATTTCCACTCAAATCACTTTATACTTCGGCACTCCTTCTCTAGGGATTACTCTGACATGGCAAGTGCATCATTAGTATATTCGCAAGATTTTATCACTGTTAGAGAAGTAGATGATTAACAAATAACACTGTAAGTGTGGGATAATTTTCACTCCTGAAACACACACATACACACAAACTTCCAGTTGCTAAACCACTTAGATCACTGATAGAGAAATCCAACATTTAATATATAGATAGATATTAGCATACATTCACACACCGTTATAGAGTAGACAGGAAGATAGTGCTGCTGCTCCATGCTAACAGAATATGATTTCACTTCAGTTGGAAACTGTTACACATTCACCATTTTCTAAGCATCTCAGAAAACAAAACAAAACAAAACACTCACAATGATACTCTGCAACATCACACTACATTGTCTTATTATATTACTATTATTTTCTTTTTTTGTGGAAGAGTAAAAAGAAAACCTACCTATAAGCAACTAAAAAATATCATTTTTTATAGGCTTATCAAGAACAGCCAAAGAAACCCCAATGTTTTCTTTCACAAAGTAGGCTGGCAAAGGAATTCAATAAGGAGGTACAATTTGACACAGTGAAATAAAACCAGGCTGGCTCTCAGCCAACATGACGTTAGGAATCACACACAAGCTGCACCAACTGCCTTCTGGTTCATGGCTGACTTTTTAAAGCTACAGTGTGCCTGTTCACTTTTGCTAACTACCTTCAGCACAATTAGTGCAAGAGAATGAGTCAGGAGTCCAAAACCTGCAGAATTCTCCCTGCACCTGTCTTGTACAAAGAAAAACAAGCTCTCTCAATAGCTTCTTATTTTCTCCCTCCCCTTCATTGTTGCTGCATGATAGGTCTTAGTTGTTGTTCTGAGCATGAATGTCATGTTTCAAACTATTTCATTTTCTCCCCAGAGGGAAAAATAAGAGTGAGAACCCAGTGCTTATGGGCACCAGAGAACACTTGGAAGCTGCAGTCCCATGTTATTCTTTTTTTCCTAATAGAGATTGGTGGACAAAGTTCCCAGGGCTGGCTTTTAAGTAATCTCTTTGTGAGAATAAGGAAAGCACTGCCCAGCAGCAAATCCTTTTACTTCATTATGCAGGAAGTAACATATTTCAGAGAGGATGCAAAATAGATGACCAGATCTCCTGAAAACGCCCACATTCTTTTATTTTGGCATTTATCCTGCCAAATGAAGCCAGCAAAAATTCAGACTGAAACAAACAAAACCTTATTCTACAAAATGAAAATTCTGGGAGGTTTAATTTTAACTGTTTATCCCAGTTGCACAAAAAGCATAATTCAAGAAATTCAACCAACACTTACCATCTATGAGTACCCGGTACTATATTGGTTGCATATGAGTAGAAAGACATTATGCCCACCCCAAAATTCATAGTCTCTCCCGCCATCATCCTCAATACCAAATCAGAACACTGGGAGGTGGAGCAGAGAGGCTGGGCAAGATTTTTTGTTTACATTACCCTGGTCATTCTCACAGTTTCCGTGCTTGGCTTAAACCACTTTTCCAGGGGAATAATCTCATCCCATAAATGTTCTGCACATACACAGAAAACATACATGGTTGCCTCTTCATTGAAATAAACATCAATCAACATTTGTATACTTTTAGGTCAAGATGGTCAACAAAAGTATTCAAAACAGGACACAGAACACAGGTTTCCCAGAAAGATCTTGGAAAAGTTATCTGTTGCTGTAATATCCTGTAGAATTCAGGTAGAATACGAGGAGAAAGTTGACTGCCTCCCTTTTTAAAAATAATCTTTTAGGACATTAGAAGATCAACTTTGATCTAAATTTGGAACCTGAATTTCAAGGTCAAAAATTGGTCCTTTACTTATTCCAGGAATTATATTAGAAATTTTTGACTTCCTTAAAGATCACTGCCGAGAAAGATTTCAAATATTTGCCATTGCTCCCTTGAAAAGGCAAACAATAGTAATCTAGGAACCAATTAAATGTTTTTGAGCACTATTTTTGAGCCCGGGTCAGGCATGTGGATCTTTCACCAGTGCTGATCTCAAAATGACGGACTCTTACGGAGATAAAGAGCTCTTTCACTAACAGATTCCATAATGCTTTTGGACTTGATCTGAAATTCCTGAACTATTCTCCCAGTAAATCCAAATTGGAAGCGAGTTGGACTGGGAGTTCTGTGTCCTGGGAAGCTGGGGTTGTCCTGACAGTGCTGCTCAGAACAAAAGCATGTTCAGTTCTCCACTCTTGAAGGGGAAAAGGCAAAGAGACTGTGGTTACACCCAGCTCTTCCTTAGACACAGCCACAGGAGAAAGGATTCTGTGAAGTTTTTCCAAGCATCTCTTCCTACATGTACAAAGGGACATCCCCTCCCATCTGGCCTGCTGTGATCAAAAGTTTGCCTGTTACACAACAGTAAAGTTTCAGAAAGTGTTGTAGGAAGTTAATCCCATGGTATAAAAAGTGAGCCACAAAGACACTCTAAATTATGACAACAGGAGGTTTCACTTACCAGCTAGTTTCTAACTTTGGTAGTAAACTGACACTTGTGAATATAAATATATATATATATACACACACACACACACACTAGTACTCACACACTCCCTCCAACAAAATGTTTGACATCAATCCTCTGCTGATAAAAAGTTGTGTGTGTAGTGTGTAGCATAAAGTATGTATGTGTAATGTGTGTACTATGTGGTGTACTTTGTGTGTGGGTGTGGTACATATGTGGGTGCGTATGTGGTGTGTGGGGGTGAGGGAGAGAGGCAACCAAACAAGACCTTCTGATCCAGCACATTATGGGATACGCTGAAATAACTTTGGAGATCCTGAAATCTCCAAATTATATGCTGAAATTAACTTTGGTGTCAGTATTCTGGAACAGAACTTTCGACCCACTTGGGAACGGGCTCAGATAGGGAGAGGAGAGGCGGTTAGGAAGGGCGGGAAGCTGTTGACTTTGATTGGCTTCTTTTCTAGATCAGCATTCATCCCCCAGGCAGAAAGGACTCGCCTAGGGAGCCAGCGCGGTCCCAAAGGAGCCGCCGGCCCTGCCTCCCGGGATCCGACCCCAGGTGCGTCCAGCCTGAAGTCGCCGGAGGGCAGGGCCGACCTCACCGCGCCGGGAGTGGCGTCTCAGGGGCAAGTGAGAATTGGCCCGGAGAGGGGACGGTAGGGGCAGAAGACGCCAATTGCCTCTTGGACCAGCAGCGCCGGCCCTGAGCCACACGGCTCTCTGTGGCACTGGGGACAGAGCGGGGAAAGTTTCTGGCTAAGACTTTCACGGAGAGACGGTTCGCTGGCGTTTAGTGTGGGGGCTCCCCGGGGAAGCCGGTCTTTGGAAAGTGGAGGGTGTAGGTGTGGCGCTTGCGGGGCACCCCGCCGAGTCGTGCCACCACCCCGTCCCGCTCCCCGAGCACTGCCAGCAGCCCCAGGCGAGCCCCGGCTCTCCGTGGGGCAGGGCACGCTTCTGCCCCCATTCCACTCCACGGTGAGAGCCCACGTCCGTGGGTGCAACGAGCTGCAGGAGCACCGAACACTGCCAAGATGAGGGAGGGCAGAGCGGTTTTCATTGCGGCATTCTTCGTTTCCTTCCATCCTGGAGAGAGGAGAGGGCGGGCGCCTTCCCACGCCCTGGCCGCACAGGCGGATTACTTACCTCCCCGCATGGCCGCGCTGGGAGGTTTGCCCCGCGCGGAGCTCGGCAGCCGCCACGCGCAAAGTCCCGGTGCAGCCGGCCGGACGCGCGCGGCACGCCGGGAGTTGTAGTCCACCGCGAGTCGGCTGGGGTCGGAGGGGCGGGGACCCCCAGGAATGGGGAAGGCCAGGACTAGAAGGGACAAGACCTGGGCAGGACAAGGGAGGATGTTTGCAAAAACTTAAAACTTCCAGGGACCTCGGGGGAGGGGAACCCTACTAGAGAGATTTTTAAAGTGAGGATTTTTTAGGTTAATACCATTTTCTTCCTGTCTTACTCGCTTATCACAACCCCAGTGAAGTTTTAAGCTGGACTCTGGCAGTAATGTTAAGTAGAGATTTTCCCGGCCAACTTCATATTATTTAGGGCTCTATTCTCCCTTTATCTTGAACACAGATGTGCCATTCTCTGCTTGGACGCACACAGAATATTCTTGCTCACAGAATATCTCAGTTGAAGCCCTGGGCATGTAAAAGGAAGGTGAGTAGTTAGTTGCACCTTACACGTGCAGGGTGCTTTATAGCTCTCTTTACAAAGCACTGTGTACTTGATTGGTTCATTATATAAGAACCGTAAAGCAACCCTGAGAGTCAGAGAAAAGCTAAAGATGTAGGGAGGTTTTTTTGGTTTTGTTTTTTTGTTTTGTTTTGGTTTTTTGAGACGGGGTCTTGCTCTGTCGCCCAGGCTGGAGTGCAGTAGCGCGATCTTGGCTTGATGCAGGCAGTTTTGGAGTTTTGTGTATCTGCATCTGCAGAGGTTGGAGTCATCCTGTCTATTCATTTCTTTCTCCAGCCTCTCATAGCAGCTGGGAAGAGAGAGTGGAGAGAAAGAGGGCTCAGGACAGGTGTGGACACGGTGGAAGACGAGGAGCCTGCTGTGACAGACTTCCTTGAAATGACTAACAAGTAAATCTTTAAGGAAATAAGTAAAACCAAAAGAAGGACTTATGGGTTGGAAGAAGGGAAGGAGAAGGAAAAGGCAGATGGGATAGGGATAGACATTAAAGATTGCAAACAGGCTAGTAGCAAAGAAAGCAAAAAAACAAACAAACAGGGTTTTTAGAAACCAGATAAACCTTGGATTCCTGGTGTTGTCACTTCTGAGCTATCTCTGTGACCTTAGGTAAGTTCTTTAACCTCCCCAAACCTATTTTGCCTCATCTGTAAAATTTAAAAAAAAAAAAAAAAAAGTTCTTTATCATGTGGCTGTGCCTATTAAAAAGAGACAGGAAGCACATAGTATAGTGCTGGGCATATGATAGGCAATTAATGTTGTCTACTATTATTATCTGCAGAAATTCCCTTTGTGTAAGTATCAAAAAATAAATTGGAGTGGAAGTACTAGTGGAAGTACCAAAAATAAATTGGAGTGGAAGTACTAGTGGAAGTACCAAAAATAAATTGGAGTGGCTCGGACAATACTCTAAGCTACTGGCAATGATAGCTTGAACTACATTGACAGAAAGGCAACCATGTTGCCATGAGATGGGGAAAACAGCGAGGACAATCAATTGGATGTGGGGAAGGAAGAAGAAGAATCAAATTGGTTGTTATTTCTAGATTAAGTAGATGATGTTGTCATTCTCATAAATAGATACAACTGATGGAAAAATGAGTTTTGGAGGAAGATGACCACTGGCTTTCCTCATTTTATTGTGCTTTGTTTTATTGCAGTTCACAGAAAATGTGTTTTTTGTTTGTTTGTTTATTTTACAAATTGAAGGTTTTTGGCAACCCTG